CTCATTTCTGGTAATGGACAATGGCTCGAACGTGGGATCTCATCGTTTTGCTTGAGTGCAGCCGTTATTGTGGTCAAGAAGGCTGTCTTCTCTTTTTTGTATTCTTCGGTCAGTTCTATCGCCGGTATTTTTAGAGGCAAAATGGAAGGTCGTTCATCGTCGACTGGTCGAGGCAGGCTTTGGCTGACTCGCGTCCGTCGGAGATACCTCCCATAGAGAAACCAAGTTTGTGGAATAAATCCATCCCAATGACAAATGAGTGCTGCAAATCAAACACCTCAAACGCTGATGTTAAGCAATGGTTATTGCACTCGATTTCGATGTCTTCGGTGCTTCCGATACGTGCGACATGCATCTCTTTATGCCCTAGATATACATTTCCTTGTGCATTGATGACTTTGATACGAGCATCGTCCACGATTGAGCGGTCAATAAACGACCTTGATGCTCCTGTGTCGATAAGCGCCTCATACTCATTGTTATCGAAGTAGATGGGCATGATAATTCTGCGTTCGTTCGTGTCATGGGTAGACATAGCAGTTTATGCAATGGTTTCAAAGTCGTTGAGTGATGAATTTTCTAGGGTCATGCTCTCGAGATTTATATCGAATTGCTCAATTTTATTATCTTTATCTTCTGATAGCACTGAGTCTGTCAAGTGCGCGATGTTCACAAATTCATCGTCAGCTATTCGCTGGTACTGGTCTTGCTCCGAGCTATTTGTCTTTGAAGAGCAGGAAGATGATAATTCGTTCAGTGAGATGTATCTCATATTTTCGTTTGCATTTGGAGTGCGGGTGGCATGATACACACCTTTGTCACCGTGAGGGCTGCGATCATTGCGCGGGCGGTAGCCGTCCCGATTGTAGGGATGGCGACGACCGTTATTATTTCGGTTACTGCTGTCACGAACGCTGTGGTCACGATTGTTGTCATGACTGTTGTACCGACTGTAGCTGTCTCGACCGCGGTCACTGCGACCATTATTACGGGAAGGACCACGCTGGTTGTCGAGCTTGCGACAGGTATGCTTCTGGTGACCAGCTCGTCCACTGTCAAGGACAGACAGGTAAGTGGTGAAGGATATGGAGACAAGAGGTAGGAGAACTGGAAGAGGCAAGGTAAGTGTTTTATTGCAGACTGAGGATTCTATAATAAAGCTACTGGGTATTTATACCTATTTTACAAGACATGGATTATTAAGCCGAATGGCGTTAGAGGAGACCGGGATGGCTAATAGAGATGCAAGGTGATGCCGGGTGCGAGAGTATGGCGTCGTTATCAATCACGAAGGCGATGTGGCTGCGAGCAAACCTTAATCTGCCCTGAGACGCGACAGAGCAAAAGATCAAACGTAAACAAGATCTCTTTTTTGCTCTCTCACTTGCACCTTCACTACGAACTATGGCGCGGTTCGTGACATCCACAGTGCTCGCACTCGATGTGCTCCTCACTGGAGTGGTGTCTGTAGTCCTTGCACTTGTTACAGTAAGATATGCTGCCAGCTTTCTCCTTGCTGTTTCTGCCATTACGGCTTTGTGCTTTGACGTCTCCTTGATCACGGAGGGAGCTGCTTGGGAGCTCAAAATTATCTCTAGCATCATCGGGTCCAACGATCTTGCCAAGGGCGGTGCAAAAATCATCGATCGTCTCAGGCGTATCGCGAGTGGTACCTTGATTAGTGTAGAGGTAATGCAGGTTGACATTGGTCATATCCTTGGCTGGGATGGCTTGTCTGAGTAGGGTCAAGATGACACCGTTATCCTCTTGGATGCGATACTGTTTCACGATGCGCGCAATTCGAGTGGCAAATAAGCGGTAGGATTCTCCTTTGTGACGGCCGATTTTGGTGACCTTGGCCACGCTCTTTTCTCGCTGTTCTTTCGTGAGACAGACGTCCAGGAATGTTCGCTCCATGATGTCTCGAGTGATGACATTTCCTTCGAGCTTGTGTCAGGAACAGACTTGGAAGAGTGGGATATGTGTTATGGAGGAGACAGACAGTGGACAAGGTCAGGAAGAAATGTATTGCAGACTGAGGTTATATGCTATGGATTCTATGGCTCTATTTATGTGTTTCTAGGATTCTTGGTCAGGGTACTCGGATGGCTACTACGGGACGCGAGGTATATTTGCTAGGAATAGCACAAAGGTATGGATCTGGTACAATGGTTCTAGGCGGGCCGGATAATGGCAATATCAATAAAGATACTTCGTTGAACATATGTTGATCGAGCATACGGTGGCAGAGGTACGCGTGCAAGCGCGTGAGCGCGTAGAAGCAGTCACAAATCAATATGAGCAATTGTGTGCGCAGCTCAACTGTCACTCTGCACCACACGCTATGGTGCTATCCGTGACAATCCCCTCTCTTAGGAGCGACTTCCAGGAGCGACAGAAACTGGACCGGGCTTTGCTGGGTACTGGCGATGGAACTCAGCAATGAGCTCTGGGCAGTGTGAGACATTTGCAGCGGGTTCCCAAGATCTCTCATCTGGAGGAAAGTCTTTCCAATCGACCAGGTACTGTAACTTGCGGTTGCGCATTCGTGAATCCAAGATGACTTCGACCTCGTACTCGATCTGACCTTCGACTTCGACAGGTGGGGCAGGCGGTGCGCTACGGTTCGGAATCTCATTAGCCTGATGAGGCTCTAGGAGAGACACATGGAACACAGGATGTATTCGTGCCATGGAGACAGGGAGCCGGAGTCGGAAAGCACGAGTCCCTACGCGTTCGAGGATCTCGTATGGCCCCAGCTTGCGGTAGTCAAGCTTGTCGGAAGGGCGCGTGGTCTTGATGTGTCGCCTCAAGAGCCAGACTTTATCACCAGGTGCAAAGTCGGGGGGCGCTTGGACATGCTGATTGAAGTAGCGAGCCTGGGCTTCTTGCGCAGCGCCGATATGGAACTTCAAGTCATCCTGCAGTCCCTTCAACAGCATGATTCGGGCAGAGGCGGCAGGTGAGTGGCGGGACACGCGTGGGATGTGGATGCTGAACCGAGGGTGGTATCCATACAAGGCCATGAACGGAGTCTGGTTCGTCGAGGAGTGAACGGTATTGTTGTACGTGAACTCGGCTAAGGGCAGGAGTCTGGACCAGTCGTCTTGCTGATAGTTCAAGAAGCAACGAAGGTATTGCTCAAGCGTTGCATTGGTTCGTTCGGTTTGGCCATCAGTCTGTGGATGAAAAGCCGTTGACAAATTCTGTTTGACCTTTAGGGCTTCCATAAGCGAACGAGTAAACTGGGCGGTGAATGTGGTGCCACGGTCGGAGACAATATCGTCGGGGAGACCGTGGGCACGGACGACTGTGTCTAGGAACAGGCTCACTGTGCCGGCAGCATCGACCTCGTCATGCGTAGCAACGAAGTGGGCCATCTTGGTTAACCTGTCCACGAAGACTATGATGGACGTGAATCCATGGGACGCAGGCAACTGCGTGATGAAGTCCATGGAGATTGAGGACCAAGGGCTCTCTGGTATAGGTAAGGACTGAAGGAGGCCATAAGGCTTGTGATGGACAGACTTGTTCCTCTGGCACGTATCGCAGGTACTGACAAAACGTTTCACATATTGGCGAAGGCCTGGCCAGTGATAGGTTCGATTCACGAGCTCGAATGTCTTCAGGAGGCCAAAGTGGCCTGCGGTGGGGTCGTCATGGCAATGGACCAGGATATCTCGGTGAATGTCATCGGCGTCGGGGACATAAATTAGGCCTTTGTAAAACAGGAGGCTATCCTCAATGGCGTAGTCAGGCTGAGACTTTGGGTCCTTGGCAAGGTCAGCAAGGAGTCCGCGAGTGATCTCATCATCGGGATATGCGTCTTTGATTCGACAGGAGATCTCATCTTGGGGATCTAGTCGAAGCGCTGCTGTTAACGCCAAGAACGGGACCGTATTGATATCGACAGGCTTCGGGAGCAAGGTCATTTCGTTCGACGTGACAGGGCCTTCCCCCCCCTCAGGGGAGTGTACGCGCGACAAAGCATCGGCAGCACCGTTAAGTACGCCAGGGCGATACACCAACTGAGTTTTGAATTTCGACAGGCGTTCGGCGTACCGGATCTGGCGCTCACTGAGCGGTCTTTTCTCGGAGAAGTGTTCCAGGTTCTTGTGGTCGGTCAGAATAGTGGCAGGAAACGTGGAGTACGCAAAGAAGTGTCGCCAATGCTCAAGGCCTTCGATAGCGGCCAGCAACTCGGTGTCGTGGACGTGATAATTGCGCTCGGGGGCAGTGAGCGAGCGGGAGTAGAAGCCAAGAGGATGCAGCACACCTTTGTCGTCAGGTTGGCTACAGACAGCACCGAGGGCCGTTTTGGAAGCATCAGGTTCAAGGACACAAGGCAGCTCAGGGTTAAAATGCGCCAAAGCCGGCTCCTGCGTGAAGGCCTCACGGAGGGCCGTGAAAGCGCGATGGGCGGCATCATCCCAGGCAAACAGAACGTCCTTCTTGAGCAAACGGGTGATAGGGGCGACGACCTTGGAGAAGTCTTTGACGAATCGGCGATAGAAATTAGCAAAGCCGAGGAAGACCTGTATATCACGGACAGAGGCAGGGGTAGGCCACTCTAGGATGGCCTTAACCTTTGAAGGGTCCATGGCGATGCCGTCGGGCGAAATCACGTAGCCTAAGAACTCGACTTCACGGGCGTGGAAGACACATTTTTCGAGTTTGACTTGGAGGTCGGCGGCGCTCAACTTGGCAAGGACCTGTCGTACATGCTGGACATGGTCTTGCTCATCAGCGGAGTAAATCAGGATATCATCCAAGTAGATGACGACGAAATTGTCGAGATGCTCGCGCAGGACATCGTTCAGGAATGCTTGGAAGGTGGCCGGAGCGTTGGTCAACCCGAATGGCATGACCAAATATTCGAAATGGCCGTAGCGGGTGCGGAAGGCTGTTTTCCATTCGTCGCCCTTGGCCACACGCACAAGGTTGTACGCGCCTTTGAGGTCCAGCTTGGTGAAGATTCGAGCGCGACGCAACTGGTCCAAGGTCTCGGTTATCAATGGCAGTGGGCAACGGTTCTTGATGGTGACCTTGTTTAAGGCACGGTAGTCGACACAGAGGCGTAAGGATCCATCTTTCTTTGGTACAAACAGAACTGGAGCGCCAGCAGGGGACTCGGAACGGCGGATGAACCCTTTGGCAAGGTTCTCTTCGATGTACTCCTTCAAGGATTCGAGTTCTTTCTGAGACAAGGTGTATAGTGGACCGAATGGCACCTGGCGTCAGGTTCGAGAGTTATGGCATGGTCGAAGGAGCGATGTGGAGGCAAGGTGCCGAGCTCTCGATCTTCGAAGAGCCGGGCAAAGTCACGGTAAGCGTCAGGGATCTCGACTGGAGGATTGGTTGGGTCAATGTTGTTCAAGGATAGGCTGGGTAGTGGAACAGGAGAAGCACAGAGGGACATGGTTGAGAGGTGTACAGGGACGGACTCGCTAAAAAGGAGCGACGGTTGTTCTAAACTGGAGCGAGGAGTGGAAAGGTGTGTAATGGTGGCAAGGGCGAGTTGACAGAGGCGATATTCCTCCAACGTGGGTTCAAGGGCAGGTTCAAGGACAGAGCAAGAGGTAAGAGCGTCGGACAAGGGTTCATGGTGTACACAAACTGTATTACAATGGTTTGAATGGAAAGTAACTATATGCTTTTCCCAGTCAATACTAGGGTTATGCGTGGCGAGCCAGTCCATCCCGAGGATGATAGGGTACTGGCCGAGCTTGGTGACTTTTAGCAGGATCTGTTCATGGTGCTTCTCAGCGAGGGTCAGGCATACAGAGGCTTCATGCAAGACAGGTCCAGCGGTGCTCAAAGAGCCGTCCCCCATGGTCAGGTTCATGGGTCGGGGGAGGTTACGCACAGGGATACAGTGGTTCAGGAGGAATTTTCGATCGATGAAGGAGCGGGCGGCGCCGGAGTCGATTAATACTTGGATGTTTTTTAAGGGTCCTTGGGTCAGATACAGGGTGGCAGGCAACATAAGGCAGATACGGGCATGGGCAGGAACAGTGGAGGTGGCATGGATGGCACCTAGGGAACAGTCCTCCAGCTGCCCTAGGCGCTGAAGTTTTCCGACACGTCGGTGTCGAAAGCATACTCGATCGTGGCTTCTTGGACTGCAGCGAGGCCCAGACCGGAGGGGCGCTTGTTGGGGCACTTGTTGGCAAAGTGGCCCGCTTGGCCACAGTACATGCAGAGGCCTTCTCTGCGGCGACGATCTTTTTCAGCGGCGGTAAGAGGGCCGCGCATGGTTCCTAGTTCCATGTCGTTTGGACCTGGACGAGCAACGGTGACTGGACGTGGAGACGGAGTAGACTGAGGGATGCTGCGAGGAGGCTGGGGTCGCCAAGGCTGTTGGGGGCGACGAGCCGAGGTCAGGCGCAAGTTCAGATACGCGGTGGTGGCAGCCTCAGTCACAGTACTCATGGTGGTCAGGGAATGCCATTGGCCTTGCAACAGGGTGCGCACACCCTCGGAAAGGCCAAACTTGAATTGGGACACGAGAGCAGACTGATTCCAGCGGACCTGGCTTTGCAAAGTGGAGAACTCCGAGATGTATTCTTGCATTGTACCTCGTTGCTTAAGGAAACGGATTTTCTCTTCGGCTTCCTGGATGCTCAGGCGATCACCGTAAGCGGCCTCGATAGCGGTCATGAAGGCGTCGTAATCGTTCAGGAGTCCTTCTTCGTCCTCGATGTCTTGGTTGTACAGCGGGGCAAAATGCTCGAGGGGAGGTCCTGCCATACAGCCCATGGCGAAAGTCACGCACTGGTCATCCGATTCAAAGGCAGGACCGAAGCGCTGGAAGACACCGGACAACTTGGCTTTAAAAGCACGGAAGGAAAGGACTTTGGCATCACCATTGAACGCAGGCGTGAAGGGGTGCGGGATGTGTGGACGACGAGCGGCTGTCTGGAGAGAAGCGGCAGCGGCGGTAGGCGCGGGGGTCCGGTCCAGGATGGCTTGGACCAGATTCTGGAGGGCAGCGATCGTGTTGGTCTGCTGCTGCATTGCGTCTTGGTTCTGGACTTGGATAACGTTGACGGCCTCGGACAAGGTCGTCAGATGGTTCGCTTGCTGGAGATGGCTGGCAATGGAGTTGGTACGGGCGTCAATAACGGACAAGAGTTCGCGGAGATGGTTCACAAATGCGTCAGGAGTGGTGTTCGGGTCTTGCGCATGGTTCTGCAGGGCACCAAGGAGATTCGCCTGCTGCTGCTGCAGAAGCTGCTGGTGCTGGGTAAATTCATCTTGGGCGGACATGACTGGATTGGAGAGTCTGCAATGTCAGGAACAGACTTGGAAGAGTGGGATATGTGTTATGGAGGAGACAGACAGTGGACAAGGTCAGGAAGAAATGTATTGCAGACTGAGGTTATATGCTATGGATTCTATGGCTCTATTTATGTGTTTCTAGGATTCTTGGTCAGGGTACTCGGATGGCTACTACGGGACGCGAGGTATATTTGCTAGGAATAGCACAAAGGTATGGATCTGGTACAATGGTTCTAGGCGGGCCGGATAATGGCAATATCAATAAAGATACTTCGTTGAACATATGTTGATCGAGCATACGGTGGCAGAGGTACGCGTGCAAGCGCGTGAGCGCGTAGAAGCAGTCACAAATCAATATGAGCAATTGTGTGCGCAGCTTAACTGTCACTCTGCACCACACGCTATGGTGCTATCCGTGACAGCTTGTCGAACGCGGTTTGCAATTGGTCTTGAAAGTTGTTATCGCTGACCAGTAGGCTCAGGTATGTATGACCATATTGCCTGAATATTTCTTCCCCTAGGATGGGACGGACTTGACGAATGAACTTGTCAAAGAATTCGTATGCGGTTTCATCAGCCTTTCCGTTGTACCTTGGCCAGTTGCTCTGTAGCTTAATCGGCAATCCTCCAATGAAGGACTTCTGGTTTCGACGGATGGGCAGGGACTGGTAGTCATCGCTCGCCTCATACACGGTGCTTTCTTTCGCCACGATTCTGGGCTTTAGGGGCGTCATGGACTCGGCCAAGTTTTCATAAGCTTGCTTGAGCTCGCCGTAGCTGCCGAACGTGATGCTACGTTGCATTTTGAAGTCTGACAATTCTTGGGTAAGCTGCGCATTGGGAATGCCACAGTCTCTGGCAGCGCGCGATTGGAGTCGCAAAATGTTCTTGTCCATTCGCTTCAGATTCAGCCGCATGTTTTCGAGCGTGCTTCTGGCCATTTCTAGTTCGCTTTCGTTGTCCGTGTCTTCTTCGGTAAGGCTTTCATCGATCGAAGCATCATAACCTGGGACGGATTCATCAGCGTTGATAGCGGTCCTCTTCTTGAACGAGGGTAGACGAGAAGGAATACAATCCTCGTCAACGTCCATGTCTCCGGCATCATCATCATCATACTCAGTTGAAGTAAGGACGGGAACGGCTTTATTACGCAAAGGAAGACTACGGTCTCCATCAGAGCTAGGCGATTCTACAGCACTCTCCTGGGTTGGATCCACGGAAGCATCTTCGGCAATCTCAGATACGGTTGGAAGAGGCGTAATCATGGCGGCGTCAACGTCGTTGGAGGTTGCACTCGAGCTGTTGTTGTTGTTGCGCGTTTTGGTAGTTGCAGCCAGCTACTTCTTCTGAATGTTGATCTTCGCCATCGGGATCGGAAAATTTTTCTCAAAAATACTTGTGATCTGAAAATAAAAAGATTGGAAATGAAGATGCTGACGATGTGATTCTGAATGAGGAAAAAGCTGTTGTTCCTGAATGTCTCTGATGTGGTTCCTGAATGTTTCTGATGCTGTCTTAGATCCTCTACTTCTTCATTGAAAAAAATGCGAAGTATATATGAACCAGGAGTCAATGAGAACAAGAGAGAGATCTTTAATATTAATCCACCGAGAACATTATATGTTACTCGGTGGCTTAAGTAAATTGATAGGACTCGCTGGATCTAATTAAATACACGCGGTGGCAGCATGTAATATGGCTATATGCCACATCAAGGGCAGCCAGACGGGCGAGAAGAGCCGATACGTTAATAGATTCATGGTTGTCGTGTTGGATAGTGTCGCTCATTGGAAAATGGGTGGATGTGCGCTATGGATGCGTTCCGATGAGCGACGAAAAAGAAGATAGAGAGCAGATCGGATCCCCCGGGATCCAGTGTTTTATTTTCAGTTTCGTCGTACAAAATAAAAGAAGGTCACACACATATGGACATGGCACCGTAGACAATGGCATATAGCCATATTACATGCTGCCACCGCGAGTATTTAATTAGATCCAGCGAGTCCTATCAATTTACTTAAGCCACCGAGTAACATATAATGTTCTCGGTGGATTAATATTAAAGATCCCTCTCTTGTTCTCATTGACTCCTGGTTCAAGTATACTTCGCAGTGTATGTCTATGCTAGATAGCAAACTGTATTTGGCTACAAAGCTATTTTATTTTTTGTCTCGGATCCGTAGCGTGTGCCACGGGCAGTTCTACTAGTCTACAATAAAAGAAGATTACACATATGGATTCTTTGCCGTAGTCGGATAATATGCTTAGGCCGCCTTTCATATTATTCGGCTACGCTGATACAGTGCGCAACAAAAAGTTCATATGTTTAGTAAAATTCGAGTTTTTCTTCACATCTCCACAGTCGTTCATTTAATTGCTCCGAAACCTCGAAGAGCGATACCTTGCTATTATATCCACCGCTATGGAATATTTGAAAAGGATCTGATGACTCTACGGATTTCTATGTAATTCTAAAGTCCCATACCCATATGAACTTTATCTTTTGGATAGATGTCGAATGTCAATTCCTTTATTGATATCTCCTAGCATTCTTCCTTCAATACTCGATAGGACCTCCTTTAGTTCTGTAGACCATCGCGATGCGCTGAGGCATGCTGTCGTACAGTTTATGGATTAAGTCTATGGGAATATTTGTCTATATGTCCTGCACTCTCTCCCATAGCTCTTCCATGTTCGCTGGAGCCTTTGGGTAATGTCCGAGCTTGCGTTTAATATGCGCCCATACATGCTCGATCGGATTAAGGTCTGCTGAGTTGGCAGGCCACTGTAGGGTTTCGATCTTGGCCTTGGAAAGGAACTTCTTGACGGCTTTTGCGGTATGAACCTTGGCGTTGTCATGCTGAAAAATAAACTTTGTCGGATCCATGTCATACCAATCCCTGGATTGAAGAACATAGGAATTGAGGACATCCACGTACGCCTCAGCGGTGATCCTGTCCCGGATCCAACAGGCATTCCCTACGCCGTAATAGGTGATACAACCCCAGATCATCATTTTACCACCGCCGCCTTGCTTGGTTTTCTTGATTTGAAATGTCCTGATCATCTTGTCCTTGGGCCTTTTGTAGTAGAACTCTCTTCCAAAGGACCCAATCTTACTGATTATGCTTTCGTCCGAGAACATTATATTACGCCATTGCTCAGCAGTCTAATTGCAACAGCAGCAGAGTCAAGGGGTCAAGGGCAGTGGTCAAGTAGGAATGCGTAGAAATGAATGCTGTTTAATGATCGTAAGTAGGGTCTATATATACATGTCTGGGGCCTATTGTACAGTGTCGTAGTGGAGTTGTCATGATGCCGGGCTCCCATCCTGGCTCTGTGTGTCGTAACCGTGCAGCTTGGTAACCGAGTGGTAATCCTGTTGCACTAATGTAAATGGTCGCGAGCGAATTTGTACCGATTCTCGATTTGATCGTCCATCAGATCAGGTTTCTTAGGTTTGACGTATGCTTTCAACCCTTGCTGTCTTAGATAATTCCGGATGGTCTGCACATGGACATGAACACCTTGTGTCGAAAAGACAAGTTCCTGACCGTCATGCTGTGGTGTAGTAAATGAGAATCAGTTGGTTGTTCTTGCAAAGTTAGTATTAGATCATGGGGAAGAGCACCGCCCCCAGAATAAAAGAATAAACGGTCTGGTACCTGAACCAGAGTCTTCTTTCCACCTAAATCATTTGTATCACACATTGTATTCGTCCAGATTGTCCGGATAACACCGCTTCAACGACTGGTACTGACTACCACCGTCAGTAACCCATGCAACGAGATACAATCAACAGGGAATGCCGATCCTGATCATCCGCCATCTTTGCACCGTCAATCGCTCTTATTTAGACATTGTACTTGCCCTGCAGCGCTTCCCCGATCACCGATCGTTTCATTGAGCATCTGTCATCGGCCCACCCTCGTGAAACGGCATTATAAAGGTACAACGGAGGCCTGATCAGCAACTATTGACATACAACGACTCCAGAGGGGTGGACTTCATTGTCACGACTCCTCACCTCATCGGACATCACAATATGCGAACTCCTTGCAACTACCCCAGTCATTCCCAAAGGAATATAGTCATAGCTCGCACCATTTAGCTAAACAGATCCCCATATTTATTCCTTTCCATTTACGTTTAGTCTATTTTACCTTTGTGTTCTTACATTCCGATCTAAAGGAGGACCCTGCACCACGAACCAGTAAGTGACCGAAGCACAGCCTTGCCGAGGTCCTATTCGCGTGGTAACTCCTGTTGTAAATAGAACTAATGGTAGAAGTTATAGAACCCGTTAGTAGACCCCCTACACCGCAATGCGGAGTTAAAAGATTTCCGGTTGACATTTTTCGGGCTAAAAGAGTCTTCATGGTCTTGGAAACCTTTGAAAGCCTGCCTCTTTTCTTGATGGGAATATAGTCCTTGTATAATCCCCTAAACCTGGATACCATTCCGACCGATATACGGAGGGTTTGGGAGATCTCACGAACGGTTTTTCCTTGTTTGAGGAGCGCAAATGCTTTCGCTTTGGTTGATTCCGGCAGGGACTTCACGTTAATGAAGAAAGTTATTGAGAGTGAATAGAAAGGGGAGTGTAGTGATGTAGTAATGTTCAATCGAAGGTTGGGGATGTAAAGTATAGAGAGTAGAACCATGGAAGATGGAGTTCATATATACAAAAAATAAAGTTCATATGGATATGAGACTTAAGAATCACATAGAAGTCCATAGAGCCATTAGGTTCTTCTCGAATTTTCCATAGCGGTGGAAAAAATAGCAGGGTATAGTTCTCCGAGGTTCCGGAGCAAGCAAATGAACGACTGTGGAGATGTGAAGAAAAAACTCGAATTTTACTAAAACATATGAACTTTTTGTTGCGCACTGTACATTATCCAAAAAAAAATATATATGCAATGAGTGGTGCTTTCTTGCGCGGTACAAAGTCTAGCTAATAGCGTATTTATTGGTTTATTGAGAATGATTTCATGTTGAAAAGGTGTGATTCATAGAATCTGCTATGCCTCCTCAGTTGCGAGGATCATCGCTTGCATCCCTGAATTGCAGAGAACGGCCAGTCCCTTTATAGCTTCCAGATAGAGAGTGGTTAGGTACTTAATCCTCTTTGATCATTCTTTTCTCGCAGGCGGAGCATGGACAGACATCTCGACAGCGTGGGCAAAATACATCTCCTGAGACCTGGGAGACAAGATCGCACCGTGTTATCTTGTATCTATTAAACAGATAAGGTTCGTAGTACTACTTCAAGTTACAGCCCCTCGTCGCCTTCTTGTTTGGTGAGGAAAAAAGTGCGGTATGGGAAGAAAATTGCAGTATGGTGAGAAAAAAGGGCTTCTTCCAGCAAGAAAAACAGATGCGACGATTGCCAGTCGGACTGGAATACCTTTCTCTCTCATTCCCAGTGCCTTTTAGTTCCGCCATTGATAATCCTTTCTTTTTATTGTGCGCTACCGATAATAAAGCTAAGTAAACTAAGCTGGTCTTTAATCTGTGCGTCTTCGTTTACTCACGAATCCGTGTGTCATGGCATCGCTAATCCCGCCGCGGTTGAGGGTGTTGTTCACCGCTGGGTCCGTGGACATGAGAATGTTTCCTCTTCCCCGAAGAATTGGTTCAGATGACGCTCTGCACTTGGCGCATTGGCAGTGTTCCAGGCATCTGGGGCAGCGGAAAACAGCGATAGGGCTCTTAAAGGTGTCTGTCCATGACAGCTCATAGTGGCGGTAGAGGCAGGGTTCGCAGTAGCTGAGCAGACAGCGATTAAAACCAGTTTGTAACGGCTTTGAAGGCCGATTATTGGGACGCAGTTGTTGGCAGCGCAGAATAAGGTAGTTGGCGCTCTTTACTTTGGAATGATGGCACGACTCTTATGCGAGTGAAAACGAAATTGTGAGCTGCTTACCTTTTTTTTTTTTTTTTTTTTTTTTTTTTTCAAGAGCATAGATCATACCAATTGTTGATTTGCGATTTGCATCTTTCTCATGTAAGCCAATGAAGCGGAAGAGAAAGCGCCCTGAACTGACAAGCTACATGTCGAAAGCTATGGTTAGGTGAAGAAACGAATTCAGGTCTTCAGAAGGTACCTAATTCTTTTACCTTATGTTCCAGTTTTCCCTGATGTAGTCGTGCTCTTCAAGGTCTGCAAGTAGAGGACATTCATTCCATGCACGAACGGCTTCCGTAAATACGGCTCTCAGCGAGCGCATCGAGTATCTCTCCGCGAATATCATGCCATTTGCTCTGTGAATACAGCCTCGACCTTTGGCGTAGCAGCTAGTGCATGTATCGTATGGTTGAGTCGTCGAACACCCTCTGCAATTGAAGTGTCTGTTCCAAATATCCGACATGCAGAAGTCGCAGGCTGCCGTTGAAGTCTCTGAGCTTAAAATTGGCGCCGAGAAGTGTTGTCCTTGAACGATGTTCGGGTGTTGCCATTCGATCGCTGCGAGTCTATTCAGGTCTACCCAATCAGCTTGCACGATCAGTTGGAAAAGCCTGACAAGGCCCTTGAACGCTTCGCAGAATTGTTTAGGTGGCATTGGCAGACCCATAGTACCATCGGCCAACAATTTTGTCCAGTTTATGAGAGACCTGTGGATGATAGATTTGATCCTGTATACTTCTGGATTGTTGATCCTATGATGCAAAAGAGTGATTAACACAACGGACGAAGGGCACATCTTTAAAACTTCTCTTTTTTAGCGACTGAAAGTAGACGCGTACTGCTTGTATCTCGGAAGAATGTTGTTGATGGCGAAGTCGAGACAGCTTATGGTGAGTCGATTCCATGCCATTTTGGTTGAGGACTTGCCCTAGCGATTTAGAAATACATGTAAGGTGTGAGTGGTTTTTTTTTCTTGATATGCGCAAATTAGTTTACTGGCTTACCAGATTCACAACTTGGTGATAAGATAACGATGGTACGATAGCCAGGTCCCCAACTCGTTGATCAAGGACGTAGATCGGGAACTCCGCTTTGCAGAGAAAATCCATTGGGGCCAAACAGTTTTCAAATTGAGCTGTTGATTGGTGACTTTCCAGTAGCTCCTCGAACTTTGTCATGTCCTTGGCACCAACGATGAACCAAAAGGAAGAAGAATCTAGCGTTGGTAAGAGGGATATGTTTGAGAAGTGTAGAATGAGAGAATAGTTATCATTTACGTCAAACGTACCTTCTTCGGACGAGACCATGATGTTGTGGCCTATAGCGCCGTAATGATCGATATGGGCGGGGGTACTAAAAAGAAGGAAACGACTGTGGGCTCAGCGACAGACAACCGAACGATTTTTTGACACGAGACTGTTGAACGGTCAAGTCTTACCAGGTGTTGTTTTGACCAACGTACACCATTAGACTCTCTGCCGCAACCTTGTCTGATTCACTCTCGGCGGCTACATCTGCAACTTTGTCTATGACAATGGTGTGTTCAATGTATAGATCACCAGCATGCAGGCGGGGGTACGTTGGCAAAGGATAACATATCCTTACTGAAGTCGTTGTCTCCTCTGTATGACAAGAAAGAAGGGACAACGTCGTCCATGCGAGCATCTCGCCAATCTTCAGGGCACGAAAGGTCCTTCGCGTAGAGAAGCTTGTCTTTACCCTTGTAAAGATTTGCTCGTTCTAAAAGGTGCGCATTTCGCGCGTGGTCGCTAATGGTGAGCTTCACGTCTTGTTGCTTTATCAGATTTCTACACGTGATGACTTTGAGCAACATAATAAAGGTTAAAAAAGTTGTTCATGTAAGTATATTTTCAGCGGAGCAAGATCAGCACTCTTTAGATAGCGAAGAGAAAAAAAAGCGTCATCCCAGTGCGAATTCCGATGGAAGTTTTTGAATATCACTGGAAGACCCTGGATCGTTGTAATGTCGTCAATCTCCTCCCATGATGCTGTGTTGTTCATTTCATGCATCGTTTGAAATGGAAGACCTTTCCCAATGACATCGTCGTATGTTAAGTCACTGTAGGTTTCGATGGCGAGGAGTGGGTCGGATGTGTTATTATTTTCCATCGACGATGTGGTAGGAAGAAAAGTGCGGTATGGCGAGGAAAAAATGTGCAGTATGGGAAGAAAAATGCGGTATGAGAAGAAAAATGCGGTATGGGAAAAAGGATGACAATGTTGAGGTGGGATGGTGGCAAAGAGACGGCCATGGTCAGTTAGGGCTTATCTCTTTTTTTCTCATCCACTCCGCTTGTTATTCCATCCTCACATTCAACTGTCTCTCTATTCTCATGTCCGTTTCCTTCACCAATGCCATTGCTTGATTAATTGCTTCCATTTTCATTCGCTTTGATATCCTGTCTAGATTTATTGATCAGCTCTTCAAACGTGAGTGCTTTGTCTAGTTCATCTTTGTAGAGACGTGCATGTTGTCATTGTATGGTCCAGCATTGTTTGAGTTGGTATTCTTTTGGTGTCTCTCAATTTGGAAGGTGGATGCAGGCTTTTTTTAATACTCAACACGTAATATGGGCATAAATAAGCTGCGATAAGTGGCCCGCTTCTCTCGCTCCAGCAGATATACTTTTGGGCTCTGCCGAATAAGAAAGTGCCCGCAGCAGTGCCCGGGTGCATTGTTAAGGATATTTGTCCCTATATCTTGGATTGTTAAGTTTTTCCCTAACTTCATTTTTTTTATTTTTTGTGAAGAATCTTCTACCAGGTGCTTTGAGGCTAGGTTTCCCATGTCTTTAATACTGAAAGAGCACTTGGAATGGATCAAGAAGAAAGTCAAAGGCGAAGAACATTCCACGTTTGAAAACTTCGTTGCTCACTTCGACTTGAGTTATTCCCTGTCGGCGACGAGCGCATACACGCGACTCATTGCGTTCCCAGAAATTCGATTACCCAGGCGACAAAAGCTTCAAGCGTCATTCAGCGATTTTCGCAAGCACAGGGCAGACAGATTCTGGTCGAAATTCAAAGCCCTGGTCAACTCAGAGGTGGTAGCCAATGATGCCTTGGTTTCTGTGCAAGAGTTTGGCCAAAGACAGTCTAAAATCATTCTCGATCGATTTACGCTGACTGCGCTTGATCCTCTTGCGGAGGGTAAAAACGTAGAAAGAGAGATAGAGATTGAGGGTAATCATCTCTCTGGATATGTTGTTATATGGTTGGTGTTTGTCTGGTTAATTAACCTGCCTTTCTGTAGCACTAGGAGAGAGATCAATTGCATCGGAACCTATCCTTTCCGTCAATGAAGGAACTGCGGATGTATCGGAATGTATCCCTGCTGACACGAACGCGCAAAGTGGCTCTGCTGCTATCGACTTGGATGCTTCCAGCAGTAGCATGTCTGTTTTAAAGCGATCTACATGTACAATAGCACACAAGCATACACGCACCTTTCTCCTGCAACTGCTTTCTCTTCTGTAAATTTCTTTTCCAATACCAACATACCGTATACCCAAAAAAAAGAAAAAACACACACGCTCCAAACTTGCCATAAATTTACGGTCTAGTCCATATTTAGACTTATATAACCTAAATAGTCATTGTGCATTCCTGCACAATACATGGTTACACAGCAAATCCATACGCGATAATATAGCGATAACACAACTGAATACATTCGTCAATTGATTCTAATTCTCATATAAATAAAAGTCATTTCCACGAAACAATTTGGCGCATTTGGTCACTACATCAATCGATAGGCTACCCTATATTTAAGGTTGGAGGAACAAGAAAATTTGTATAGGGTATTATTAACTGGCTTGTGGCAGCCAAGCGTTCATAGCGACGTTGCTTTTTGATCCTTCGATGTCGGCTCTT